GTAAACGGAATATTAATAAATTATGTATATACTAATTATTTTTTTAATACATTAATTAATTACTTATAATCTAATAAATATGAGTACATTACTAACATAGTAATTACTTATAATTAATTACTAATTACTATTTTGTAATTATTTAGCATATTAATTTATTATATATAATTTAATTACTAATGTACTCATAAATGATAATTTATCCATTATTATTATATTATTAATATATTAATTTTTATATGCTAAATAATTGATAATTATTAATTACTTAATATATTAATTTAATATTATTAATTACATGTACTCGAAACAAACATAAATATAACCAAACACGATTTCACTTTTTTATCATACTTAAGCTGATCTCTTAAAAGACTATCAAACGTAATTTTAGAATTAGTTACAGAATGATTTTTAAAACAATCTCATTTTCATTTTTGTACCGAAAATAAAACCATTTTAAAAACATTACCAAACAGGCCCGTAGCATTTCAAAAACCGAAAATGCTCCGTAATACACAATGTAAATGGGAAAAGAATTTTGTAACCTTACTACCACTGTTTCAATACATTATCTTATATGCAAATCCAGCTTCTATACAACCTTATGATATTAATCTCTGTTCCATTCTACCAAATGTATCGTCAGCGAAATACACACACCCCCCTCACAATTTGTGTCTAAATATGCTAAATCATGAATCATTACACGCTTATGTTACAAACCCATAACGTAGATCTCACCTTTGCAAGTAGGCAAAACCGACTTGCAAGGAGAGGGGACCCAAGGCCAAGGGCTTATAAACCCACTAATCATTTTATATTTATTCCACATTCTATTTCTTGACTGAATAACTGATGCACATATAGAACTAGGAAAGCAAAGAATTTTCCTGGCCTTTAAGAAGAATATGCAAGGAGGGTGAATCATGATTTTCGCTAGATATAGGTTTAACAACCGAGAAGATGAAGATGCAAATTTTCCGAATTCTGCTGAACTTGGTTCGGTACACTTGTGCAGTTAACTACAAAATTTTTTATCAACGAAATTTGAATGAGGATGAAGACTAAAATCTAAGAAACCAAGACTCATTCACTAAGATAGTTCGATATGTAAACCATTGAACCGCCGACGCTCTCGGCTAAAATAGTTCCGCATGTGAATGTTCGACAGTTATACCTTCCAAGTCCTTAAAGGGCCAAGCTAGTCCCAAAACCAACTACGATTTCGCAGCATCTGCTCGAGGTCTCCACAGTCCCACCCTATACTTGTGGGTGTATTTCAGTATCAGCTTTCTCTGGAATACAAAAGATCAGACAGGATTCTCAGTAAGTAACAAGAAGATGGAGGTAAAGACATTTATCATAAAGTAAAGCAGAAAATCTCTCCAAACGTGTAAACCAAGAGAAAAGTTCACTTTTTATTCGTCCTTTCATGAAATAATGATAAGCTCGTAAAGAAAATGAAGAACAGTTAGAGCAAGACAACGCGAGATTTATGCACAAACAAGCCAAATCACGGGCCTGGTCAATGTTATTAATGGCGGAAATTACAGAATCACAGGTATGGGTATGGGGGTGTTCGAGTGACCCCTTGCACTCCCTAACTAAACTTGTCTTAGAAGTTCTGAGAATGATCGAATGAATCCTTCTCATGCCTTATCTAAACTATTTATACTATTCCTCTTTCTAGTAACTAACTTCCCCTTAACAACACAGCCTAACCGACTAAACCCTACCTATCCGCTTCATAACCTCCCCCTTGACTTGCCAGCTCATCATTCTATTAAGAATTACCTCCCTGACTCGCATCTCCACTGCCTTCCCCTGCTCCTGCCACATTCCTCTCACGAACTCTCCTCCGCACATAGATAAAACGCAAAGGAGGCTTATCATATAATAATAATAAGTAACAGATACAAGCCTTTTCACCATCTACTAATAAGTTTACAACTGAATATGGTTAGTGTAGTAATATTAATACGAGCACATTTTTTGAACAGAAATGAAAGAGTAAATGGTAATATCTAGCAAGCCCATAAAATTACAGAAGCAAGAGCATCTAGAAATGAGATAAATACAAGCAAAAACAATCAAACAATGACGCATATTAAGCCATCATCTCTAGAGTCTAGACTAAAACTCCAGCAAAAAGTTTCTCCCCCTGAAAATGAAATAAGTCTTCTGATCAACCTCGAGATATCTATTTAACAACAAAGATGACCTGCTTCAACAATATATTCATACTTGGCTAATACTTTCATCAAGTCTCATGTTTCTTTTTCCATACAGGAATAGGTATAACTTATAGCTCTTCGCGAAAGTAAAATGTCGATTTTCCAAAACGCATTACACCCCCAAAACTCAACAACCTAACCCACAACAACTCTATTGCAAATTGCAACAGAATAATGTCAAAACTTGCTGCCAAGTTCTTCAACATAACTACACAACAGAAGGCGATGGCTTCAGGTTTATACTAATTTAGAGACACATACAAAGCATGGTGTGTTATATTTTTCATAAAACCTATCACTAAGATCCAATCATTTTGAGACAATTTCTAATCCCCATACGGCAAGAGACAGTATAAATCAGGAAAATAAGATTTTCATATGTTTCTGCGTGTTCATATGCACGGGCGTGTGTGTATAGCAGAATGAATAATAGAGTTTTTTTTTTTTTTTTTGGTGAAAGATTACATGTTTGCAAGGGATGCCAAGCTTCTTGAGCTTAAGAGTGCGAGTGACAAGAAGCTTCTGGAAGTCAACAATCTCAGATTCAAGCTTGGGCACATGGGTTTCAACTCCTTTGCCTATTCCTTTCAGAAATTCTGGTATTCCAACTTTCACTGCAACAAAACAATTTATACTTCAGTTTCTTCTTGACTTGCAACACCAATTTGCTCATAATACAAAAATGATTTCCCAAATAAGAAGAGCATAAAATAATTTAGGCTAACAAAAATATCCAAAATACAACCATTAAATTTTCGTTTTCTTTTATGTTCCTTAATAATAATAATAATAATAATAAAACCCCAAAACCCAAAATAAACAATAACACGGCTCTAACTCAACTAAAGTGAAATTTTCCTCTTCTACGGAAGTTCAAGCATCAAAATTCACAAAAATGGACTTCAACTTTTTCTATTGACTTGGATTACCTTCATAAGAGATTGATTTGGAGAAGAATCTAGAGAAACCAGGAGTAGAAAGGGCCGCGGAGACTGCATTATTGCCGAAGAGTATTTGCCTCCAAGCCATATTTGCTTAGGGTTTTTCAGTGACACTGTTTTCTCTTGAAAAACTATTTCAAATATTTGGAAACGACATTCTTTGTTTATTGGCTAAGGCCGAGAACGGTATATGAGTTGCTGAGAGGATGGGCCGCGTTTTTATGCTGTCCTCTTTCTTATCTAGCCGGTGTTGGACAGTTTGTTTTTTTAGAGTTTAGGGATTGTTTGGTTGGAGGGTGCAAAGAGTTTGAACCTTGCTTAGTAAAAAGTAAAAAAGGGTTTAAATCCTTAATATGACATTTCATAATCGAGGATTCTCAAGATATGAACGTAAATCTTCTGTGTTCTTAGAGTTTGAATCTAGGTTTAAACCTCACAAAATCTATTAAAAAAAAAATTAAGGGAAAACATTTCATTGCAAAAGAAACAATTACACAAAGTACGAGTAGTCCCAATTACAGAGGAGATTTACCCAGAACCAAAATTGGATCCACAAGTGAAGATACTATAGCACATAGGCAAAAATATGTACTGATACTCAACGGGAAAAGACCCGTTCGACATAGAAACATAGAGCATGATCAAAGCTCGTTTAAAGCCACAAACAGTCGATAGATTAAGCGACTAAGATCAACCCCCACGTAAGGGAACATCAACAACACGACATAGAGGAAGCTCTAGTCGGACCAAACAACCTACACCATCCGTAAACAACTTTCTGGGATGAGAAACACAACCAAAGCCAAAAGGTAGAGAAACCACATCCGTCATTACAATGTAAGAAAAAAATGGAGATAACGCCATGACAGAAGAAGGGCATCCGCTGCAGCCACCATTCAACCATTTCCCTTCAGCGATCAGCATCGTATCCGAAAATTCAACGAGGACTCCATCATTTATCCGATCTGGCATCCCGCAACAATGAAACCATCTCACTCTAGTGAGCTTCCTTCGACCACACCTTGGGTCCCCAGATCTAGCGTCCTCCGAACATAACCTCATTGCACAGATCTGATCAGATATAGATCTAGCCATCTCTAACCACAACATCCTCGAATGGATTTCGTCAACGCTGCTCTTCACCAGTCCAACTTCCCCTCACCCACACAGCGCATGTTCAGCTTTCCGTCTAGAGTCACCTCCACGAGTACCTACAGACCATGTCTTACCCTCTCCCCTCTTACCAGAGCACATCGGCCTACCCTATGGTGGTGCCATACTCCGGCCTCAAAGGGAGGGGGAGGTTGTTGCAAAGGAAATTCCTTAATGGAACCCTATAAAACTTAGAAGAGAAGAGAGAGCCAAACTCTTTTGGCCTTGGATGTCATCATATTTTTCCTTCTTACACAAGATACCAAAATACAATGGGTTTAGAAACCAATAGTTTGTGGCTGCAGTTTTATCATGTTGGTACTTGATAGTGGTAGTCAGTTTCAATGATCTCAATAGGGAAGGGAAAGAAAAGGAAAAAGAAAGGGAAGGATTGCTAGTTTGTAGTTATTGAGCGAAGGTAAAGTTGTGAAATAGAGGAACACTACTCATAGAGAGTTGGTATTTGAATATACTCCTCCTCAGAAAAATTTAATTATTTAAATTTGATTTATACAATAAGGAGACAAATATCTATTGGAATGTATGGGTCTTAGATTTTTACCATTTACACTTGATTAATACCTTTTAACTAAAAAATTATATTAGTCAAATGGATGTTAATCAAGAGTAAATGGTGAAAATCTTAAAACAATGCATTCAAAGAGTGAGTTCTCCAATTTTATTTTTTTTATACATACTAGTTTAGCTACGTGCAATGCACGTATGGAGTTGTAATTCAATTGTAATAACGTAGAATATAAAAAATAAAACATAGAAAAAGATTTACTAAGAAATTTAAAAGGAGAATATAAATAGTAGTCTGAGTGAAAAGCTTATGTGATTAAATTGATAAAACATTCTAAATTATAAGATGTTGATACCCAACTTTGTACCAGGCTTGTTCAAGGGTCCAGGCCCAACCATGCGTCACGCGACATTAATGGGCTCACTTCGTGGACCCAAGCCACGCTCGCGGACCTCCCGTAGGCTGTGGTTGGGTGGGCCATGTGTGATCAAGTAAGCCACGCTAGCGGATCATGTATAATAAAAATTTCATAAAACCTTGGAGATACTATATAGATTATATTAATTTATGCACGAATAAATTAATCACATTAATTTATTTACCAAGAACCGGATTCAGAATTATATCTAGCAACCGATTAGGATGATAACTTGTGTTCTTTGACCTCAAATGTTTCTCATAGTTTAGAACACCCGAATCTTCCTCGTCAATTCTTTGAATCTACGAAGACATGTGTGTAGACACACATCAAACAAAATGAGATTAGCGAATAAACACTCAGGGGGCGTTTGGTATGGGGTAATCATATGGGTGGGAATGGGAATCTTTCAGATTCTCATGTTTGATACAATTATTAGACTTTTTTAAAACCCAGGAAAGTGAAGCCCATGGGTTTCACATTACCCCATTTGGGGTAATCCTAATCCCACCCAAAAAGATGTTATTCAAATTCCCAGGAATCTCAAAATCATGGGAATCTCATAATAATAATAATAATAATAATAATAATAACAATAATAATAATAATAATAATAATAATAATAATAATAATAATAACAATAATAATAACAATAATAATAATAATAATAATAATAATAATAATAATAACAATAATAATAATAATAATAATAATAATAATAATAATAATAATAA